AACTACTAGCCACCTCCAAAAAAATTGAGCACCGGGAGGGGCATAAAAAACAAATCATCATCAGCCATCCCAGAAGAAGAAAGTGGGACGACCGACAGGACAGAAGCAGACGTAAGTGTCACACTAGGGGCACAAGGTGTCGGCTTATGACTGCATAAAGGAAGCATTCAGTCACACTATATCAATCAAAAGCAAGGGCGCTTGAGCAATAAAAACTTATAGGCAAAGGTTCAAGGGAACCCCATCATCAGTCTCCACCTTGTTCAGAGCAACAGAGTGGCCCTCTATCAAAATCACAACAGAACTCGGATAAGCAAACAAAAACAGAGTCAAGGAAAACAATCCGGGAGAAACAAAACACATGCTCACCTACAAGGACATTACCTGTTGAAGCACTCTGACGGGTTGAACGCCGCCTCTTGGGCAAAGTCCGCTTAGCGGCGGTCTCTGACCTCCGCTTCCAAGATGACAGAATCATTGCAGCAATGCGTGGATCAGGAGCATACTCTACATAAGAAAATTGACCTTCAAATAGGCCTAGCATGAACCTAGCAAAAGAAGAACCTGGCCCTAAAGTAGCAGCCTCGGTCACATTGCCAGCAACAGCAACAACATCATCTTCATCTTCTTTGGCCTCCTCCTCGACCACATCATCAGCAGCAGCAGCAGTAGGGATGACGAGCTCAAAAGCTCGACCATAGCCCTGCAAAAAAGAGATAAAATCAGCACAAGATCAATAACCCAATATAAAAGAACCCGGGAAAAAGCAAAAATCCTACCTAAGGAGAAGGGTGAGCAGCATCATACTCTCAACCAAAGCTGGCATCGCAGTCACGTTGCTGAGAATTCTCTTCATTCATTCAAGAACAATTTTCTCAGGCAACTCGGCATCAAGGATAAACCGAGAAGAATCCTTCGGACCAGTATATTCAAAGCCAAGGTTCTCCCTCTTCATAAGAGGTTGAACCCGTGGCGCAAAAAACTAGCAACAATCCCATTACCAGTCAAGCCAGCCTGCTTAAGCTGGCTAACTCGAGCAAGCAAGGGTTTAAGAGCCTTAAGCTCGGAAGAAGAAAGCTTGTGCTTCCAAATAGGAAGAGAACTCGGAGTAGAAGAAAGATCAGAAGAGAAAGAAGGGGCCGGTTTTGGGACATAGAACCACTTCTCGGCCCAGTCCTTAACAGATTCAGAAAGAGTGAAAGAAGGAAAAGTTTCTTTATATCCCTGACGGGACTGAAGGAGACAGAACCAAAAAGGGGGATTCTTGCCGTCAGAAAGCCGCATGCGAAAGAAATAATGAAAGAGAAGCAGAGAAGGCGGGACTCCAATAAAAACTTTGTAAAGATGTGCAAAGGCAGAAAGAAAAAGAACCCCATTTGGGGTAAGATGGTGAAGTTGAATCTGATAAGATTCAAGAAATTCTAGCAAAAAATCGGACGGGGGAAAACAGAGTCCCGCCCGCACAAAAGGAATAAACAAGACAGATTGATCAGGAGAAGGGGGTGGAATCACATGCTCACCAGGCGGCGAGAAATTGGAAAGAAACTTCTCTTGAATGAGCCCATGGGCAACAAGCAGATCCAGCTCCGCCTCCTGCGTCAACGGCTTCGGGAACTGTTTCTGCATCCGCCTCATGGCCATGAACTCAGGATTGTCAATCTGCTTGAGGGTCTTCTCTTGGTCAACAAGCTTGCCCTTGCCCTTGTTCTTCTTCACCATCAAACATGAACAGAGGACAACAGCAGCAACAAAGAGCCAAAATCGCTATGGCGGATGCAATGCTAGGGTTTCTCAACAATGAAGATTGGGGAATTTTTTACCGTAAAGGCAAGTGGAGCCAACAGTAACAGAGCGGTTATCTTTATACAAGGAAAATACATAGCCCACGTGGCCCAAAATCACACGGATTGCCCGAAGAGGCCCTTCAAAATTACCGTTCCGTCATTAATTACGGTGCGCGCCTGAGAAAGGTAATAGTCCGTTCAGACTACAACGGCTACACGTCAAGATTAACCCGTTCACAAGGAAACAGAGAGAAAAAGGGATACAACAAATCGGTAACAACATTATACTATAGCAAAATACAGAAAAGAACTTGGATACAATGACAGACAACTCGGCCTCCAATGGGAACAATCTTATTCATTATTTCTCTGACTGAAAAGACATTGGGATTACAACAGAATACAAGATCTGATGAATTCAACAAAAAAAGCAAAGGAAATCATTCTAGAGTGGCAGCAAAGAACCCAGTGGAATTCGAGGTTGCAACCCCCACACCAAGGTTCGATATTGCCAAGCAGGATAAAAACAATCCGGATGTACTTCTCTCCAAAGGAAAGACGCACATCCAGATTGCTATAGATGGCAGAGGTAGCATCCGCAAGTCATCTAAGATTGACAGCAACAACTGCATCAATAACGGAAGAACCCGGCACCACCTCCCAACACGTGCTGATCTGCATCGGACTGAGCCACGATAGCATAGCAGAAGATAGAACAATGGCTGATCTACAACGGACTGTCGAAGAACAAGTCGGATCACTCGCTAATCATCACTATAAGGAGAGCAAAAAGGATAGAGGGCAGGCACTGGAAGATTAGGTAGCGCAACACGCATCACCTACATCATAAGTCCTACACCATTTGCCTCAATGCCCCTTACAGCTAAATACCACTCCGAGACTAGCTTGCTACTAGTCCCTATCACAAGACCTACATCATTTACCAGCAGAAGAGATAAAAGAGAGAAGATAAGCCCGGGGGCTCGTCAAGCTCACAAACTACAATATACATGACTTCAACAGAATGGAGAAAAAATCACAAGTAGGATACAACAGAGAAGCATAAGACCGGCAGTATTTATAGAACAACTCTGGTGCACATACACCAAGTCTATGGAGAGAAAAGATTCCAAAAGGACAATCTTGTGAATCACAAGGAGTACAGTAAAAGCCGGACGTGACCAGGCCACCACGAGGGAACAGTACATACTCAGGACAACCGCAGCACAAGATAAAGCATATCCAAAAGAATATCACACAACAACAGTACAACCCGTGAGGACATGCATTGAATTCTTCAACAACCAGATTGACAACAGCAATGATCGGCCAAAGAAACAACCCAGAACTCAGAAAAGAACATGTCATTACAGAAAAAACAAGCATCAGGGCAAAACGGAACAAGGGAATACATTCATCTTCTCAATTATAAGGATACAAGATTACACGATTTATAGAATGACAAAAAGAAGGAATCTCTAAATACCATGATAAGGAACCCTGTGGAATTCGGCTACTACAAAAGACCACAAGTCACAAAATACAAGACAAAACCAAGGCCATGATAGAATCACCGTGGTAAAGAACAGGAGAACCCTGGTTAATGCCTAGCAGAATGAAAACAACCCGGATACACTACAATTATAGGGGATAAAGCAAATCCTGGGTTGTGAACAGGGAGACAGCCACGTCCTGGACGAGCACACCGATATGGTCACCTCCAACTCAAGGTCGGCCAGCAGGAGTTAGGTGCAAACATTGACCGCCAAGAAAGTGGAGCGCACCACATCTGCCAACCCAGGACCAGCAACAATGAAAGCCCGAAAATTGAAAGGCAGATAGAGCAGACATGGGAGCCACATCACAAGAACTCTTCTATCTGCCCCCTCAAACTTCTCTGGAAAATCTCCCCGAGGGGTTAGTCTGCTTCTAACCCCTTTCACAAGAACTCTTCTAACTGCCAGCCTATCCATCATCAAGTGGGTAGAGGCCCGGGGGCTGCTCAACCTCGCACACCAGCATATCCACAGATAAAATACAAAGGGGACTCAAAACTCTTTCCTACTCAAGGCAAAACTGCAAACCACCAGAAAGAAATTTATAGCAAGCCAAGGGCATACCAAGCCAAGGATCATGAGAAAGAGAAAAGGAAAACAACAAAAGATGCAAACAGTGAGACTCCTGCCAGGATTCCTGGCAGCAAAACGACAAAATCACAAGAAGGCATCCACTCGTGGGTATACAGAACCCACCCGTGAACAACAAAAGACAAAGACCAGAGGAATACAAGTCAAGACCATTCTACCGGCTTCTTCTCAACAGAAAAGAACCCGGAGAAGGCTCAGGGGCTGCTAAGTACCCACCACACTAGATCAATTTTTTCAACTCTTTGACCCTCCAGCTTTTTGTACCAAAAAACAAGAGGCTCGGGGGCTACACTCAGTGAGTGTAATTTTTACAAAATTGCACTCGATGCACTCAAGAAAAGAAGTCGGAAGACATCAAGACCCTCTAGCTTTTTGTACCAAATAGCAAGAGGCTCGGGGGCTACACTCACTAAGTACACTTTTTTCGCAAAAAGTGCACATCAGACGGCAAGAAGACCATCTCAAGATTTCTCTTCAAGAAAAACCTGGATCGAGTCTATAACAATCCGGCCCTTGAAGCTCAATCATGAAATGCTTAGGGGCTTGTCGATGGAGAACCCTATGGCCCCCCATAGATCATACTACAAGGAAGTAGGCCATAGTAATAAGGCTCACGGTCCAATCATCAAGATGACACGGAGCAAGAGCAACGAGTAGAGTCAATTCTACAACTCGGACTATACAAGAAAAGGCATCCGAAGCATAGCTTAGGACTCTAACCTTGTATCCGAGTAGTACTCAAACAATCCTCTGCAGCACCTAGACTATAAAGGGCTGTTGAGGGTATCACCTGTAAAAAAACATATACTCAATACTCAAAGCAACATGACGCAAATAGGCTAACACCGACTGGACGTAAGGTTATTACTCGACCAAGTCGAGGGCCTGAACCAGTATAAATCGTGAGTCTCTTTGCGTAACCGCCGAGTTCCACTATTCACCGAAGCCCGAACAATTGTCTTGGGTACCCCCGTAGCAGGCTATCGGTGGTAAAACATCGACATATTTGAACTTGCTGGCCTTTGGATATAACTGTTAAAATTGAAATTCAACAATCATGCATAACTTATCAGCCACAATCATGCATAACAGCAGCAACAACAGTAACATAATTTGGAGGTAAAGGATTTTTTAAAGAAATTACCGTGATGATGTTGTCCCAGGTAGGCTCATCGGCCACAATCATGCTTAACTTCTCGTCCCATGATGCCCCACTTTGCTTCCTCACTTCTTTCAACATCCTATATTCCCTCTTAAGTTCCTTCTCCTTGTCTTGAATCTGCTGCCTAGAAAATGAGACATGCTTGAACTTTGCATGGAATAATTTCACTATTCTATTCCATAAATCTGTAGTCCATCCATTTTGCCCCCTATAGCAATCACTGTTGTGGTCATGGAGCATCTCAACCAAAGCTTTTTCGAGTCCTAAATTCCAATGCGCTAAGGAGCGTTCCACTGCACATGTATAAGGTCATCACTTTGCATGAAAATGTTGAGAGGCATATATGTGTAAAATATATTACAAAAGGTACATTGAAGATATTGCTGCAAGCTGAACTCAACTATTCAATTTTTCTATTTACATCTCAGAAATAGTTGATTACCATGTCCACCTGCTTTAGGTGATGCTCTCTTCTTCTTTTTCATAGATCCAGCTTGCTGCATCAGTAATTTTGGGGAGCCCCTTCCCAGCATAGCTTGATTCCTGCTTTAGTTCAATGAGAGTATACAGACCATTACATAAACAAATGGCATCATAACACCAGCAGCTTGTAGTCAAGATGGCAATTAAATAGATAATAAGTAGACAAATAAAGCAACAACTGGTATAACACATCCAATGCATTAGACAAATAAACCATTACATGAGCATCCATACAAGTGACTGAAACAAGCATTACATCTGAAACTCTTACATAAGCAGACTAATAAACCATTACATAAGCATCCATTACACATGTGAAACTCTTAGATATTGCTGAAAAAAATTACATACGCATCATGACTGGTTATGGGTATAATCTGCCCACATACTCAATGCAATTGCATCTCTTTGAGAATTTCCATTTTCTATTTGGCTATTAAATGATGACACATCATTATTGTAGATGTTGTCCCCTCCATAGACAGCAACAAAAGTATCAGGAGGGATGTTATCCGGCTGGTTCCTTAACCACCCCTCATCTCCATGGTGCATACGGATAAGATTATGGAATACCACAGCAGCAGCTGGTATCTTCACTTGGTTCTCGATGGGATGTAAGGTTCCTACTTTTAAAATAGGAAAACGCTTCTTTAGAACTCCAATTGATCTCTCTATATGGTTCCTCAAAACAGCATGTCGATGATTAAACAATTCCTTGTAATTTCTTGGTCATTGGTGACAATGCCCAAACTCCTTCAAGTGATACCTTACACCACGATAAGGAGCAATGAATGATGGAGTGTTAGCGTAGCCACCATCAACAAGGAAAATTTTCCCTCAGGTACACGAAAGCCACGAAGCAAAGCAGACCTAAGGACCCTCGCATCAGTTGCCGAGCCTTCCCAGCCTGATGAAATGAAGGTGAAGTTTAGATCGAAGTCACATGCCAGCATAATATTTTGGCTGAGGGTGCCCTTTCTATTCCTATACGGAGCTTGCTTGTCCTGAGAGATGGTAATAGGGATATGGGTCCCATCAATAGCACCAAGATAGTTCTGAAAGAGTGAAGTGTGTATGTTAGCAATATACAAGGAAAGATGTGTATATGGCTAATAAGTAGAGTGTCTCAAATGATTCACCTTAAAGTAAGGGTAGAACCTAGGATCTGTGCTGATTTTCCAATGAGTTTCAGTTGCTACTGTAGAGTTTCACAAACCTACAAGTAAGATTTGGGATTATCTTGAAGATTGACTTAATGTGCCTATGGATGGTTTCTCCACTATGCTTGAACTCGTACTGAATATCCTCATAGCTTGCATTGTGAGACAGCATATACATGAAGAAAGCAAACTGCTCCTCGACTTTAACACCTCTAGTGTCTCGTGGTTCTTCCTCTAATAGGATCTCTTTTGGAGGTTCTTCAGGTAAGATTTAGTTGTCTGTGGTTCTTCCTCTAATAGGATCTCTTTTGGAGGTTCTTCAGGTTTGTGAGCTAGGATTTTATCTAAGAGCGCTCTTACTTCCGTTGGTGAAACATGCAAGAATGATCCTCTTGAAGCTAAGTTGAGATATTTAGAGGCTTTCTTACTAAGACCCACATAGAAATGTTGTAAAAGAACATGGTCTTGTAAGGATAGATTTGGACTAGAATTTATAAGAATGTTAAAACGTTCTCAGGATGAGGCCAAAGATTCATTATCCTCTTGTTTAAAGGATAGGATCTGATGTCTAAGTTTGACTACTTTGGAGACAGGGAAGAAGTCTAGGCAAAAGCTAGAACAAAGAGTTCTTCAATCTCCCTCCTTACTCTTTACGGTTCGTTTGTACCAATGTTTAGCTCTTCCATTCAAAGAGAAAGGAAAAAGCTTCCATCTTAAAGTTTCATCTGACATGCCCGCTATGCGAAGGCAGTCACAGGTCTGCTTGAACTCTCATAGGTGGATATAAGGGTTTTCGTCTTCCTTTCCTGAAAAGGATTGGTTCTGGACCATTGCAATCAAGCACGGTCGTAGCTCATAGGCTTGTGTTTGGATAGGCTTTGATGACCCTTTTGGCCTAAGGCTAGCTTCTGTGGGTGCATTATATTGATGGATAGGAATAGAATTAAAGACATCCATAAGGATGAACACAAAAATAGGTAGAAAAGGCTGGGATAAAAACAGAAAAGATAAAAGTATAATACAAGGCTAAGCTAGTTTCAAAGTTACTCTTCAGCAACCGTATCTTCCCCGACAACGGTGGTAGAAATGCTTGTTGGTATTGGTTATGCACAAGGATAATTCACTAAGAAGATAGGATGATCCTCAAACGCACGGATAATACCGATGCAGCACTTCACCGGGAGTATTCCAGGTATCGTTATTTATATTTTTACCGCAAGGAAGATAGTGTGACGATAACTAAGTCTTGGCTTAGACCCTTAAGAAACTACAAGGATGTGAGGGAAGGGATATAGAGGATCCAACAAAGGTCTCTACAGATCTAACTCTTGCAAGCTATGATATGATTATTCCAATAGGGAGATTACTAAGAAAAGACACCAGCAGAGGATGCTTCCCAAAGTAACTAGGTCCTACTATGCCTACAGACGGGAGGTGGACTATATAAGAATCAATGAGGCTATAAGTCACCCTCACGAACCACCATCGATCCGGAATGCAGGTCGTATCTATGAGCAACCCTAGTCTAAGCGCCACGCTTACACTAGGTATTACCACTTCAATCTAGGAGCTACCAAGATCAAAGCACTCAAAAGAGTCGTAAACCGGAAGAACAATAATAACAATGTTACTTACTCAAATTAGAAGAGGAATACTGAAGTCTCCAAGCTCTTGACCCCACAGACAAAGCGGGCAGAACAGGCTATAACTCCACCAAGACTAATCTCTCTCTATCTCGGAAGACTAGCCCTAATCTTTGGTAGAAGACTATACAAAAGCTAATCTCTCTTGAAGCTTGACTCTTGATCCCTCTAGGGTTTCTAGTTGGAGAGGAGGCTCTAAATTCTACCCTAAATAATGAAGAGGAGATGCCCTACCCGGGGGGAGAGGCTCTGAATTTATAGCCTAGAGGGGTGAACCGCAGCCCTTGGATCAAACGGACTCGACGTACGGTGGAGATGCATCCTCAAAGGCGGTGGAGCACATGAGAGAAAGGAGCCTGACAGGTGAGGCCAGGGGGGTTCGGCCGAACCCTACCCCCCTAGGCCGAACCCTGTCAGTGACAGGTGGGGCCCTCCTTCAGGTGGCTCGTCTCTCGTGTCTTCTAAAGTCTTCTAGTGTTGCTCCTGCGATAAAATACGTTTTCTAGCTCCGGTTGTGCAATAATCTTCGATCTTTTCCTGTATAGTCCCTGTAAAACACAGATTCACCAAAACTCGTGGAATTCTATCAGTTTAAACCCTATACTAGGTAGGTATTTCATTTTATGCTATTCTCTTACTTTTAGTTGACAACTGAAACTTGTTGATAACTACCATCAACACACGCCCCGCAACGACATCCCGGCACTTGGTCCACGACGCGCCCTCCCCTTCCTCCTCTAGTGGCAGCAGCGGCGAGCCCCCTCGCCCTCCCCTGTGCTGTCTGTAGTGGTGGCGGGGGCTGCAAGGCCCCTCCAGTGCATCCAATGCTAGGTGCAGAGGAGGAGGCGCCCCTTCGACTCGCTCGACAGGCCCTAGCGGCCGGCGATGTCTCCCATCCCTCGCTGGCGACGCACCTCGGGCCTGTTCTGCCTCGATTGTGGTGGTCGTCAGTGACGGCCTTCATGGCAGGCTCCCCTTGTGCGCGTGACAGTGCTTCCCATTGTGGATGGTTGTGCATGCTCACATATGTTTCAGCAGTACTGCTTGAGTTGTTTCTGGGTTGTTTTAACAGATGTTTCTGGGTTGTTTCAACATATATTTCTGAGTTGTTACAATAGTAATGCTTGAGATGTCGCAGTATGTTTTCGTTGTCAGGGGGAGGGGCACGAAGCAGCACGGGGGGCTCCATGGTGACGAGGATGAGGGTGGGGAGTCGCGGATCTCCGCCTCGTGCTGGACGCGGCGACGAGGGAGCTGCCAGACGGAGCAACAGGCCGGGTGCTGGTGCTGGCAATCGGCTGCTGCTCCGGCCCGTGCGACGGGCCACGACCCACGGGGCGGAACGCGGCCGGGGGGAGAGGTGGAGGCTCGCGCAGCGCGCGCAGACCTGGTGGATGTGGAGATGGTGGGCATCTTAGACGCGGAGGCGTGCAGACGGGGAGGGGGGAGTCACTTTCATCGGACGTCCGTGCGCCAGAAGCTCCCATCAGATCTCCATTCAACACGTCGCCTGAACAGATATAGAATTCTAGGCGATTGATCGACACATAGGAAAAGTGATTATTATAGTAAAGTGCTTATTTTCTTTGACAAAATAGCATGCCAATCAATACTAATCTACAAAAAATACTAATTCTAAACAAAAAGAATTTCTAAACAAGATTTAACAAAGTACAACAAATGTAACCATGCAGATGCACTTTGTTATCAACTTCTAAAAAGGTTGACGCCGCACGTACGTACGCCGATCGCTCTATCAGCGAGTGCCATCCCAAACGCCTAGAACGTGCAAAAGGCGCTCGCCGCGCGGACAGAGCGCACGTCCGAGCTCCCCTGCATATGCACACACAGCAAGTAACTAGCTGAATGAAAGCCTGAAACCAAACGACTACAGTGCACAAGGTCTATTTCAGCCTGTTATCCCGGCAGACGTCGTCGAGGACGCATTCTATCATGAGGCAGTCGCCGCGGACGAAGCGTGACCCCTTGAGCTCGCTCCGCGTGGCGAGCTTGCCGGTGCCCCTGGTGCACGAGTCCGCGCTCGCCGCCGCGTCGAACAGCGTGCGGTGCTCGTCCCAGATGAGGGCGTCGGCGAGGCCATTGGTCTGGTCCAGGAGCAGGAGGCCGACGGACGCCCGCGCCACCACGCCCTCGGTCAGAAGCCTGACGAAGGTACCCACGTGGCCGCGCTCGCCATCGCCGTCGTCGGAGCCCGGGTAGTACCGGATGGCCCAGTGGAGGCCGGCGACGGCGAAGGCCGGGGAGTCTACGAAGCCGCCGCCGCACTGCTCCTCCTGTAACCTGCTGAAGCCGCGAACGTGCAGACGTGCGTGCCGCGGACCGTTTTGGTCACGCGCATCGGGAGAATTTGGCACACGCGTGGCAGGTTTTGCCATGCGCAGACGCGCCAATGGCGGCACACCGCGCTGAGACGGACGCGGTCTCTGCGGGAAGGGAGACGACGCAGGATCTGGCTGTACAGGTCCGAGGGGAGATCGCACCAGCTCAGAACACCACTGTCGAGGCTGTTTAGACCATTCAATCAACACGCAATCACCGGCAAACCCAAGCTAGGGTCACAGTGTTCCTCCTATCCTGCGCCTCTGATGATCTTTCAACATCGGCCACCGTGAGAGAGCCCCGGCCGAGTTTGAAACTGATACTACTGGTACTTGTAGATATATCAGGAGTATATGCTATTGCTCGGCCTGAACAAAAAGCTTCTGCATGAATATTTTCGACTTTGGAGACTGCTAGAGAGCATGCACCTTATTAATCTGAGCATATATGGAGGAGGAAGACCAAATTATTTGGACACTGGAGAGGTGAGGAGTCCGGACAATACTTGACTAGCTGCTCAGCTTACAATATTCAGTTCGCTCGCGGGGCAAACTTCTTTCTAATTTCCCAAAACGGCAGTGCTGCTAGCGCCCGGACGTCCAGACGGATGCCCACGGAAGCTCTCTGTTCCTGCTCCTGCTCCATGCCATGTGCCCCGTTCACTCGGATTCTTGCCCTATGTGCAACATCTAATATACTTTAAAACATTCAGATGAAAATTTATGTAGAAGACAAATGAAACATGCGTCTGAAACACTTGCAAAATAACCTAAAAGCACTTGAAAAGCTATTGTAAAACATATGCAACACCAAAATAAAACACTTGTAACGTATGTGTGAAACATACGCAACATTGAAATAAAAACACACTTAATATACGTATGAAAAATAGATGAAACATTTACAACAAACGCTTGCAACATATGCAACATCCTGATCATTTTTGCAACACCAATATTAAACACTTGCAACGAATACCTCTGAAACATATTAAACACTTGAACATGTACTTTTAGCAAACCCTAGGAGGCCGGTAGGTGAGTGAAGCACTCCACGGCAGGACAACACGAGGTCGCGGTGGAGAGCCATGATGCCGCGGAGGAAGTGGGGCGACCTAGGACTGAGATGGCGACGGAGAGCGCTCAGGGCCCTCCCTGCGGGTGCGGGAGGAAGGAGGCATGGTTGGATGAGGGTGCGGGGGAGCGGAGAGTGCGGCGTCGAGGAGCGTCTTGGAGAGGAGCAGGGACAGGACACAGTGAGCGCTAGCTCGACGGTCGGTGCGGGCATCACGGCTGTGCACAACGAGGGGAGGCCTGTCTCATGGAGTGGGCAGCAAAAAAGCGGAGTGGGATCTAGATCTTATTATTATAATGCAATGCTAGGTATCTGGATTTTTTTTCCCAAAAATACGCTATTGCTCATCTCTGTCAGGGATGTTACTTGGCAACTGCTTTTGTTATTGGTAAATCTATTTCACTCAGGAGGCGGCAGCGGTGGAGGCGGTCGGGGTGGGGCACCGTGGCCGGAGCTCGCCACAGTGAGAGGGGGATGGGAAGAAGGCGGCCATGGAGCTCCGGTGAAACACAAGTGCGGCCACCGAAGAAGATGAATAGTGAAATCGAGAGGACAAAGATGAACAGTAAACTGGAGTGTGGGAAGACTTGAGTAAATATATAATTTAAAGTCTTTCACGATGAATCATTGCACGCTTATGTGACAAAATAACATGCCAATCAATACTAATTCTAAACAAGATTAATAATAGGTCAAATGTAACCATGCAGATGCACTTTGTTATCAACTTCTAAAAAGGTCGCCTCGCCGTGGTCGTCTGTGTATCTCACTCGCTGTCGCCACCGTCGCGGTCGGAACTCGGGGGGAAGAGCCACACCGCCGGCGTTGGCCAGTAACTCTCCTGCTGACACGGTAGGCGAAGGTCGGTGACGCTCCGGTCCAGCATGTCGTACACGGCGGCTTGGTGGAGACGACCCGTGCCACTGCGATGCTCCCAGAACGACATGCCCACGCAGTCGTCGGGCAGGAAGAATATCTGGTCGCCGCGCACCCCGTCGTCGCCACGGAGGCGCGCGCGCACCGACCGCGAGCACAGCCGCCCGACGAACAGCGCCTCGCCGTAGCCCAGCCTGTCGATGGTCACCCATTGGGACGACGCGAGGTCCGCGCGGAACACCGTGAACTTGTCGAGCGACGACGAGCCCTCCCGGCCCCACCGCACCACCATGAGCGGCGCCAGCTCGCCGCCGCGGCCGGACGACGACGGGACGAGGTAGCGGAGGCTGGCGGACACCGAGGAGGAGTGCCCGACGACGACGCGCTCCACGCGGGAGACGAACGGCTTGCCGGTGCTGCCGTCGACGCCGACCTCGAACGCCAGGAGGTCCCCGTAGGCGGTGACGGCGTAGAGCCTGCCGCCGCAGTAGGCCAGGTCTTCGTACCACCGCCACCGGTCGTGCACGCTCGCCGACCACGAGAAGGTCTCCAGCGAGCAGAGCGCCACCTTGCCGAAGTGCTCGCGGCCGACGATGGCCGCGATGAAGCCGTCGGGGCACATCACCAGCTTCCGCACGGCCATCGCCTCGTAGTCCGTCCACTCGTGGCTCCGGGTCACCGGAGCAGGCTCGTTGACGATCTCCACCGGCGCGCCGTGGGCACTTTGGTTGGACAAGCTCGGGAGCAGCCTCGTCTTCCCTGTCAAGGGGCTGGACAAGCGCAAGAGGCCGTCGTCGTCCTTGAAGAGCAGCCAGTCGTCGCACGCGGCGCAGATGTATCCGGCGGTGTCGTCGGCGACGAGGCCGGGGCCGGGCGTCGTCAGGTCCGGGTACGTGAAGACCTTCCCGTTCGGGAGAGCGATGTATGCCACGGCCGGCGTCGCAACGGCGGCCTCGGCCGGAGGCGGCACCACGGTGGCCGCGGCAGGTGCAGGTGCTTTCTCATCCACAGGCGGGGGGCGCGACGGTTTCTTCGGCCTCCGCCGGCATGCGATAGAGTATTGCAGAGCACAGACATCCCAATGGCGGCAGACCGCGCTGAGACGGATGCGGTCTCTGGAAGGGAGACGACGCAGGAGCAGGCCGAACAGGTCTGAGGGGAGATCGCACCAGCTCAGAACTCCCTCTTGCTCCCTGGAAAAAAAAAATTCAACAGGGTTACACGACAATGCGTAGAAAACTAAGCTGAATCAGATACAAAACGTGTACTGTGTGTGTTGCTTGCTTGATCAGTTGATGATCCTTACCAAGGGAAGAGCCATGTCGCCGGCGTGTCCCCGGCTTCGCCGTTGCCAAGCTTCTCCAATGGAGGCAGGAGCGGGTAGGTCGTCCCGTCCGTCATGTCGTAGGAGCCAAACTGTCCGGCTGGGCAGCCATTGGAGAACACGTCGTCGTCCACGAAGTGGATCCGGTTCCCCGGCAGCCCGTAGTACGGGGGCACGCGGCGGGAGAGGAAGGTCCAGCGGCCGACGAAGAGAGCGATGTCGTTGCCGACGCTCTTCAACTCCGACCACCGCGACGAGACGAGGTCGGCCTTGAACACGGTGAACCTGATCGTGGCGCTGTCGTCGCTCGTGACGACCTCTCTGTGGACCATCAGCAGCCTGCCGCCGGACACGAGAAGGTACCGCATGGTAGGCTGAGCCTTGCGGCGTTTCGCCGGAGCGTCGGCGTCGCCTTCGGCGGCCTTTATGACGATCTTGGCCCAGGACACCTTCAGCTCTCCAGTGTGTCTATCCACGTCGACGGGCATGGCGAAGAGGTCACCAGTTTCCTGGTGGACGGCGTACACCTTGCCGTCGTAGAACGCGATGTCCGTGAAACCCCTCCACGCGTCGTGCGCGCTCATCACCCAGGAACCCGAGTCCGGACGGCACACCGCGATCCTGTTGAGACGACGGCCGTCGCCGACCATGGCGGCGACGATCTGGCGCCCCGGGCACATGACTACCTTGCGCACGGCCGTGTCCTTGGGAGCTCGCTTGTCGTCCGTGATGCTGCTCCAATGTAGCCACTCGCCGCCGCGGACGACGAAGCGGACGCTGGACAGGTCCGGGAGGCACATGATTGTGTCCCCGGAGAAGGCGTGCACGAGCATGTACCCATCGCCTCCGCCGGCGGCGTCACCGCGTAGGAGGAGGCAGTCGCCGGAGGAGCCGTGGTACCGCGCGGCGTTAGGGAAGCGGAGCGGCGCGGAGCCCGGGTAGCTGAAGAAGGTGCCGTCCGGGAGCGCGAGCCACGGCAGCGGCTGCCGGGGCTGGAGCGACGCTGCGGCGCGCCATGCCCGGCAGACGGCGGTAAAGCGGACGCGGTCGACGTGGGACGGGAGGCGGCGTAGGACCGCGGCGGTTATCTTAGGCGGGACGCCAAACGACCACAGCGACAGCTCCACGTCGTCGTCTCGCGCCATGGCCGCGTGCTCTCGTGCGTCCATGGCGTGTTGCGCAATTTTCTTGGGAGTCCTGCAGACCGTGGTGGACCGTGTATATATGGAGAGATTTTTTAATCCTATTTCGTGTCAAATCCGTACTCTTCTTGAGTTGTAACTCTTTCCTAATATCTACCATCCGGATCAGTTTTTTTAAGAGAAAAACAAGAAAGGCTAAGAAGAAAATAAACTCGAACAAAAGTCCAGATCAGGGCCTGTTTGGTTCTCTTCTTCTACAGTGTGAACTAAAATGTTTTAGTCACCTTTTAGTACCTCTCGAGGGACTAGAAGAACTAAAGTGTTTTAGTCATCTTTTAGTCAGTCTGTTTGGCATTTTAGCATCAAAAATAACTAAAGTTTAGTCTCACTTTAGTTTTATTCACGAGAACCAACATGCCCTCAGTTTCAAAGTCAGACTCGGCCGGGCTCTTTTTTCCAATGGCAACATAAAAACCCATTACGTTACGTGCGCACAATGGCGTCGGTGGCGTCGAACACTCTCCCGATGCAGCTGGTGCGATCTCCCCTCGGACCAGTTGGGCCAGATCCTGCGTCGTCTCTCTTCCTGCAAGGACGCCGTCCATCTCAGCGCGGTCTACCGCCATTGGCGTGTCTGTGC